CCCCACCATACCCCCACCCCTACTCCCCATCCTAAATAAAAATATTATTAAGAGTACATTCTTTTCATGTTGTAGATAGCGTACTTTCTTTTTTATTTCAACAAAATTAGTATTTTCTTTTCATAATATAAAAAGTATTTTCTTTCATTTCAACAAAAAAAGTACTAAAATGAGTACTTTCTTTTTCAACCAAAAAAAGTATTTTCTTTTTAATTATGAAGCACAAATTTCAACATTGTCTTGCGTGAAAAAGTAAAGCAACACTAAAAAATTATTTTCCTAAAAATATTTTTTACTCTCTAACCAAATACTAGAAAATATTTTCTGAAATTTTTTTCACTCACCAACCAAACGAGAAAAAATAAGTGATAAAATCACTCATTTTTCAAGAAAACATTTTCTATTGAAAATATTTTCCTTCCTACCAAAACATCCTAAGAATTTGTATTTTTTCTCTTCTTATTATTATTACTATTGTTATTATTATTATATATATTTTGAATTTGTTTAGTTTTATATTGGATTGCAGATAATATATGAACAAGGTCGAAAATACATAGAGTCATTTATTATTAGTGATTATTGCTTGAAGTGCATTAAGCACATTTTCTTCCTAAAATGAAAACCGTCATATTTTGTGGAAAAGTAACTTAAGTTTATAATATGATAGTCAAATTTAAATAAATTTAATGAAAAAGAGTATATATTATCCTAGTAAAGATTATGTCACTAAATAATTTGAGCAAAAGAAAAATTATAAATTGCACTTGAAAAAATATTACACTTATATAATATGAGTTAACTCATATTCAACCCACCCATTTGAGACCCAACCCGTTTTTGACCCGCATGAAATATGGGTGGGTTGAGGTCCAACCCATTTTTAACCCGCCCAAATTCGATCCAACCCGTCCATTTGCCACCACTAGTGGTGACAAAATGGATAAAAGAAAATATTTATCCACCCATATTATCCATTAAAAATGGGTTGGATAATGAACTTTTTAAAAACGGGTCAAATATGGATAAAAACCATATTATCCAACTTAGAAAATGGATAACTAATGGGTTTAACTTTTACATTTGTAAAGTCTTAAATTGGGGGTTCCTCAAGTTTGGAAGATTAGGAATTCCCCGAAAGTGATCATATTCAAGAAATCCATATTATCCATCGGTTAGCCCGTTTTTTATCTCTATTAAATATGAGTCGGATCGGATAATCTATCCATTTTGTATTATCCATTTTCAACCCGTCCATATCCGACCCGTCCCGCCCGTTTGCCGCCACACTGAATGTACATGCCTAGAAAACATGACATATCCAAGTTTCCTATGATTTGCATTTGCCATGGCCCCTTCTAGTGTCCTTTGATTAACAAATTTCATTGGAACATCACAGATAACTTCCAGTTAATCTGTTAAAACCATAATATCGCGCCCTGGACATGCAATAGCTCCAGTTATACTTAAATTCCTTCTTTTATGCCAAAAGTGTTGTAACTTAAATTCTTTCTTTTATGCCCAAAGTGTTGTAGTTCAATTTTTCCACGGTTGCATCGAGTGTCATCATGAATTGGCGAGAAATGAGGATAAATGGAAGAAATGAGAATTTGTATCGCCGAACTCAATTTGTTTAGGACTGAGACATAGTTGTTATTGTGACATCGAGTGTCATTGTAGCATTGGGATTTTTACCTAGCTATACTATAATAGAAACTTATTTACTACATTTATTTAGGTTCCTTATTAATTACTTTGTATATCTATATTTACAAGTTATATACAAAACCATAAAAAAAGAAAAAAAAATTCAAGATTCCTTAATTTTAGCATGTCAGTTATACGACAGTTACCCCCATTTCCAACTTATTGATACAGTGTAGATAAAATTCAAAATATTGCTCTATAATCAAGCCGTGGGTACGTTTTGAATCTTGCTTTCTTTCTTTCTAAAATCTTTATTGTATCTGACCGTATATGATACATCAATACCCAAAATTTACCTGAAACAATACTAATCAATTATAATACAATAATATTAAATTTTTAGTTTAGAGTTGTGATTGAAACTTGAAAAAGACGAAGATCATAATTGTATCAGCTGAAAGATCATCAGAATTCCCATCCTTGTGAACGACGATGACCTTTGACATGAGAGAATCTTCAGGCAAGTTTTCGACATCTTTTTCCTTGCTTATTGTGGAGTCTGGCTTGGTCGAGTTGAAGTCGAAAATACTAGCTCCAGTTTCCTTCTTGCTATTGTGGAATAAGTTGGAAGTTGGACCGTTGTTGTCCATCTCATCAGACGCAGAGACTGCAGTCTGGCTTTTCAAAGTTGCTTGCTCCAAAGGCATCTGCAGTTCAATAAACTAAATCTTTAAACATTACCAACCAAAAGAATGTGGCCAAAGAACACACCTGTAAAGCTAATAGGAACAAACCTGATCAGGTTGCAGTGCAGATTGATCACCATCAGATTTAGCTTTTTGGGAATTAAGGTTGGATTCCTCCGTACGAACCACATTATTAGCAGATGATGTCTTTTCTGTTGCATTAGTAACTTTTCCATTTGCAGTACATTTTGAACCAAAAATCATCATCAAATCCTCCAGATAAGAATCCTTATCAGCATTTTTGTTGGCTTTATCTTCTGCGGAGGGATTGAAACCATTTGGAACGAGTACTCCAGTAGCCTGCTCTTGTTCTATATCATGACTCGCAACGACATTCTTGGCGTCTTCGACAGATGAATCTTTCGATACAGATGAAGTGAGTGACCCCTCATCGACACTTTCCCTTGTGTTACTCTACTGGTCTTCATCAGCACCAACAGAAACGGACGTGCTAGGTTGATCATCTTTCCAGCTTTCAATTAGAACTTTATCCACTGCAGGTACACCTTCATCTATGCATATATCTTTAACAATGTTAAAGTTACTCTCTCTGTAGCAAACTGTCAATTCAGGCAGATCATGATCAGTGACACCTTTATCGCTATATAAATTTGTGTTATTCTCAAACAACTCTGAGTGAGAGGTAAAAGGCGAATCAGAGTCTATGGTTTTATTTTCTTTGTGATCAAGGAAATCAACAATCATGGAGCACTCATATTCTGGAATATTCCATGGCTGATCTCGATCTTTTGTATCACATTCAAATGGATTTCCACCCCTCTTGCCATGAATGATATTCGACAAGCCTCCATTTTGATCATTCGTCATACTTGCAGCATCAATTTCATTTGTGTTACTTAAGGGAAAGTCACAGGCAAAAGGATTTCCACCTCTCTTGTCAGTGATTACTTTCGACATGTCTCCATTTTGATCGTCCCTCACACTTGAAACCCTAATTTCATTGTTGGTATCAAAAAATATAGAGTCATCAAGTTCAGGAACTTTCCAGAATTCATTCCCATCTTCTCTGTCGCATGCCAAAGGGTCTTCGCTATTGTCATGGACATTTGTATTCTTAAAGTCTTTTGTTGGAAAACCTAAAGAATCTTCCTCCTCGAAACCGTTCGAATGACTTAATATCCCGTTCTGACTTCCTTTCATGTTAGGCTTCTCTTCAGCTGTGTCAAGGACGCTGTTGTTGCATTCAAATGTTTTAGAATCATGCACAGAGACTAGGTTTGAATCAAAAAACAGAGGATGGTTATCTGCAGTCGAATTTAACTTCTCAATGCAGGGATCAACTTTCGTAGGAATAACACTAATAAAAACTATCAATAAACTCCCCAAGTAAATATATCTAGAAATAGACGTATATATCTGGAAATAATACATTTATTTACTTCATACTTATTTTTTTAGAAATATATCGCGATTGTATTATAATTGTATATGTATCATAATTGTTGAAGAAATTGTATTACAAATATATGATAATTGTATATTCATTGTATATTATTACGAGCAGTGGTGAGTTCGTGATGAATTTCACAGTTTGTATCACAAATATATAATAATTATATATTAATTTATTAGTATTGTATCAGATATTATTTTGGGTATTAATGTACCATATACAAGTTAAATACAATTGTGATACAAGTATGATACAATTATGTTTTAGACATTGATGTATCTGATACAATTATGATACAGTTATCATACAATTATCATACAATTCGTGAATATTTCTTCATTTTCAGTGTTGTCCAGTCTCCCAGCAGAAGAACGATGCAATTGACGATTTTTTAATAATATAAACCTGTATGCAATGGTGGAAAAAGAGAAGATAGAGATTCTGGGCGTAGATTAGGGGATTTTGATGATTTTGATGTAAAAAGAAAAGGAGAGAGCCGAGGAGAGGGAAAAAAAAGGAAAGAATATAATTGAATCCATTAATTGAAGGACTAATAATGGGGTGTGAGCCTTTTAAGGAGCAATGTATACAATTTGTAAGAAAAACCTAAATACTTATTAAAAATTACAAAACATAGAGAATATAGGTAAATAAATTTCTAATATAGTATTGGGGGTCAATATCCCTGTTGTATTCCCAACTGTTGGTAAAACTCCTTGATCTCTATAATTCTTTCTATACTAACTACGCTCTTGCTGTGAATATTCCTTAGGCAATATGGTGAAATAGCGAAGCAGTTGAGCCATAACCCTTCTTGCTATTTTCTTTAAGATAGCGATGATATGATTCAGCTAAGAGTACACCTAAGTGACAGCTCTTCAAACATTATATTTTTTAAGATAGCAATGACTTGATTTAGTTAAGATTACACCTTAGTCATAGCTCTTCAATCATTATATTCTTTAATATAGCATTGACATGATTCCATCTTCTAACGATATGTTTGTAATTACAACGTAATCTGAAGTGTTATGTTTCATTGCATACCTAGGTATAACTACACAATTAGATATTTTTTATTTCATGAAAGTTAATATTATAAAAAATTTAAATATATATTTTTCAAATAAACATGCAAATACATTTTAATATGTGATAAATATATATGTATGTGAATAATAGTAAATATTATTTCCTATTAGGTACCTAAAAACAAGATGCAATTTGTAGCTTTTAAAAATGATTTAAAATAATAACTGGGAGAATTTTTTGGAGCATAATTTCAGCTAAGAACTAAGCCTGCTTGGTTAAGCTTTTAGGATGCCAAAATGTCACGACCCAAAATTCCGTCGTAGGGATCGTGATGACACCTAATTCCTAAGACTAGGTAAGCCTATCACATAACGACGCCAATTAGATTACAATTGCTATAAACCCGATAAAAACTAGAAATATAATAAGTCTGCCAAACATGGATACAATAAGCAATTTCTCAAAACCCGGTAATACTGAGTCATAAACTTTACTTGAATACATAACAAGTCTCAAATGGTACAATACTATTTGGAATACATAAATAGTAGAGAATAAAGTAAAAATGGTGGCTCTGCGACCTGCGAACGGGACAACAAGGATACCTTGAAGTCTCCAACCAGCGCTCGCACGTCACCTAAAAGTCAGCCCGATCTGAAGAACCTGGATTTGTATAAAGAATGTGCAGAAGCATAGTATGAGTACACCACAGTCGATACCCAGTAAGTATCAAGACTAACCTCCATGGAGTAATGACTAGTTTCAAGTCAAGTCACTCACTAAACAAAACCTGTGCAATATATACCAATAGCTAACAACTGAAACTATACAAATTGCAATTACTGTAATCTCGTCAAAACAAGTGATAACAACTTCATACCAGCAAAGATTCAATTCTAACAACAAGTCATTTATTAGAATCGCACATATATTGCACTTCGTACCCATATTATCAATCACCTTCGCACGATAAACATCTCGTGCCACAACATATACTATACCCGCACGACAAAGACCTCGTGCCACAATGTGTATATAACTACAACAAAAATGGTCTTTAACGGCAATAAAGAAAGCCTTTAGTGGCAATAGAAATTACCACTAAAACATCTACCAGCCATTAATTTTTGGCCGGTGTACATGGGGTCGCTAAAGCCTGCAGCGGTGATTCAACAAAATGCCGTAGTTTTTATTGCCGCTAAAGGTCTTTGCCATGGAAATTATATGACAATTGTTTAGTGGCAATTGATTCAACAATTGTTTAGTGGCAATTATAATGGCAGTTAAATCCATTCCGAAAATTGCTTAAATTGCACCTTTAGCATCCATTTTATTGCCGATAAATTTAATCAAATTACCGCTAAAAGTCACAAGCTTTAATGGCAATTATTTAGCCACAATTACAATTGCTGCTATATCCGTTACAAAAATGGACAAATTTTCACTTTTAACATCCATTTTTATTGCTGATAAATCTAATTTAATTGTCAGTAAAAATACCCATGTTAGGATCGGGTTATCGGATAGTGCGAAATTTAGCCAAACAACATTATAATGACAATAACAAAGACAATACAAGTTGATAATAACGGCAATTAAAGAAGATAAAGTAGACACAAATTTAACGTGGTTCGGTCAAGGTGACCTACGTCCACAAGCGGAGAGAAATAATTTCACTATAGCAACAAGAGTACAAAAGAGAGTACAAAATTAGAGTAAATACTCTAATTAATCCCAAATACCCCAAGAGAATAACCTCACAAGATCACTCCAAAGAAAGGGTTCACACAAGTATTTCCCAACACCCACTCTCTTACAAAATACTCTATAATAAAATAAAGGAGGAGAAAGAAAGACAAGAGNTTTATAATGAAATAAAGGAGGAGAAAGAAAGACAAGAGTGAAAAGCTCTTGAATTGGTGTATTTGCAAATGAGGAGAAACTCCTCTATTTATAGGAAGAAATCCTTGGCCTAATAATGGATATTATGTCATGGCGAATGTCACGATCCACAAATTTTGTTATAATGGATATTATGTCATAGAAAATATCATGAAAATTTGGCCATATTACAAATCTCCACCTTGGCCTAATTTCGGCTTATATATAGTAAATTTGCTCCACCTTCTCCGCAAAACCCCCAATGGGCAAAATCATTCTTCATAAATGCCAATCAAGTTTAGGCAAAGCTTGAACTTGGACACTGGAAGAGGTTTTGTGAACATGTCAGCAGGATTGTCTCTAGTGTTGATCTTCTGAACAGAGACTTTTCTTTCAGCAATGGTTTCTCGGATGAAATGATACTTTATATCAATGTGCTTTGTTCTCTCATGATACATTTGATCTTTAGTCAAGTGAATGACACTTTGACTATCACAGAAAATGGTAATACCACCTTGGTGTAAACTGAGTTCCGCAAATAGACCCTTCAACCATAAAGCTTTTTTGATCGCCTCGGTCACTTTCATATATTCTAATTCGGTAGTAGATAAAGCTACTACATGTTGTAATGTAGATTTCCAACTAATAGCGCAACCACCGATGCAAAATACATAACCTGTCAGTGATCTTCTTTTATCAAGATCACCTGCATAATCTAAGTCTACAAAACCAACCAAAGTGTTAGTATTTCTCCCAAACTCCAAACATGTGTTTGAAGTACCTCGCAAGTATCTGAGAATCCATTTCACAGCATGCCAATGTGCTTTACCAGGGCAAGCCATATACCGGCTTACCACGCTCACTGCTTGTGAAATGTCTGGACGTGTACAAACCATTGCATACATAATACTGCCAACTACATTGGAATAAGGAACTTGTGCCATGTACCTCTCTTCTTCCTCTGACTGCTGGGACTGAGCAGCTGATAACTTAAAATGAGCAGCAAGAGGGGTACTAACTGGTTTAGCATCTTTCATGCCAAACCTCTCCAAGACTTTCTCCAAGTACTTCTTCTGGGTCAGAAATAGCCTGTTGGCTTTTCGATCTCTTTTGATCTCTATGCCAAGGATTTTCTTAGCTGCTCCCAAATCTTTCATCTCAAATTTACTTTTCAGCAGACTTTTTAAATTGTGAATTTCTGTTAAATCTTTAGCAGCAATGAGCATGTCATCAACATATAATAATAGGTACACAAATGAACCATCATTTAACTTCCGGAAGTAAACACAACTATCATACATGCTCCTCGAATAACCATGACCCAACATAAAGGAATCAAACCTTTTATACCATTGTCTTGGAGACTGCTTTAATCCGTACAAGGATTTCTTCAACAAGCAAACATGATCTTCTTTTCCTTCAATTTCAAATCCTTCGGGTTGATGCATGTATATTTGTTCCTCAAGTTCGCCATGTAAGAAAGTTGTCTTAACATCAAGTTATTCTAATTCCAAATCATACATGGTAACGAAGGCAAGCAAGACACAAATAGAGCTATGTTTAACAACACGTGAGAAAATATCATTAAAATCAACTCCTTGTATCTGACTATAGCCCTTTGCAACTAATTGTGCCTTATACCTCGCATCTTCAACCCCTGGAATGCCATCCTTTTTCTTGAAGACCCATTTGCAACCAACAATTCTTTTTCCTGATGGCGATTTCACAAGAGACCAAGTACTATTCTTGTGGAGAGACTCAGTTTCTTCATTCATTGCGATCAGCCACTTGGCTGAGTCAGCACCAGAAACTGCTTCTAAATATTTTGATGGTTCTCCAATTTCTTCAGTTTCCTGTGCAACTGAAAAAGCAAATGCAACATAATCTCCAAACCTTAATGGTTGTTTACCTTCTCTTCTTGGTCTATATTTG